TGTGGAATGAGTGGGCGGGCATCGGGAGGCCACTATGGCACGGGGCAAGCACTATGGGCAGTCTATCTGAAGTGTACCTGGCGTATAAGACGACCCCCCACTTGGAGGCATATTTTTCAGGGCCAAAAAATCGTCTTATACGCTGGCAAATACGGTAAATACCCTTAACTCTTTCAAACACATTAAAACAAATAATTTTTCAAGAGCCCAAGTCCTCTCCTTCACGACAAACTTCTGGAATAAGCTTCCGCCTGCGGCATCCACTTACTCCTCACCCTGCTGCTGGCTGGCTTCTCCCCGCAGGACCCCGAAGCAGCCCCGTGGTGACAGCCCGTGGACGCTTCTGGGTGCTTTGCCTCGTGGTGCACAGCAGGTCCCGTGTTCCGAGACCTCCCACTTGCACGTTGGACTGTGAGGGGCCAAGTGGAGTGAGTTCCTCACCCTGCCACCCAGGACAAGCTGGCCGTCTGGCCTCCTTTCCCTAATGGCCTCTGCCTCTGTTGTCTCCCCAGCAGCGCGCACGCGCGCACACACACACACACACACACACACACACACACACCCCAAGGTCTGGTCCCTGAGCAGCACTGTCACAGCATGAAGGGCATCGTGATGTGCTTCTGTGCATGTGTCCCTGGTTAACCCCCACCCCCCCATGGTAAGGCCCTGGGTGAGGTGCTCCCTGCTGCGATATCTTGTCTGCACTAGAACGTGAGCGCCTGGAGGTCAGGGACTTTGTCCTGTTCTCTGCTGTATCTGCGGTGCCTGGCACATGTCAGCATTCAATAACCCAATGTGTGTTTAACTGCTTTTTCCCACATTTTAAAGTGATACAGTTTCCAAGTTGATAGGTGTTTATAAAAACCCTGTTGCCAGGGGTATGGGAAAATAGGGTGCAGTTGATGCAGAGGTACAGGCACGTGGGTGAAGTCCCGAGGCAGGGTCCAGTCCAGCTTGCAGTCCAACATGGGCACCTGAGTTTTCCTGAGTTCTGCGAGCCATTCTAGCAAATTAATCAAATCCAAGGGGGGAACATGAGAACCTCTGACTCGTAGCCAGTCTGTCAGAAGCACTGGTGACAGCTGTGTCACTGACTTGCAATCGGTATATGAGTGGGGCAGCCTTGTGGATGGAGCCCTCAACCTGTTGGATCACAGGGCAGACAGTGTCTGAGTTTAACTCAATTCTCAGACAGCTTGTTCGTGTCACAGAATTGTTGTTGGGGAATACTACATACCAGCGCACATACACACAAACATACACATAAATACACACGAACACATACACACACACATACACACCAATACACACACACATTGGGATTGGTCCAGAAACCCAAAAGACCAGGCTTCCTTCATTGTCAGCCTTGGCTAACATCACGGGAATGGTCTTCCATGAAAACACTCATCTTCTCCCACTTAGGCTGCATTCAGCCGTGAGGAGGAGACTATGCCTGTCGGTGATTTAAGAGGCTAATTTAAGAACAGCAGGCTGTCTCTTTAATTTTGATGTAAATATTTATAATGTTGGGTTTTTCATTTTATAAAACAGTAATTCACATAATAGAAAACTTGAAAAGTACAGAAAGGCAAAGAAAAGAAGGGAACAGTAACCACGATTCCCTCTAAATGTAGTTGCAGTGTGACCTCGCTGTGTGCGTGTGCGTGTATGTGTGTGCATGCACGCGCTTGTGTGTATGTGTGTGTGTGTGCATGCACGCGCTTGTGTGTGTGTGTGTGTGTGTGTGTGTGTGTGTGTGTGTGTGTTTCTACACACAGGCTTGAGAGATGTTTCTTCTGGTTAGGTAAAAGGTGAGAAAGTATATAATTTTCATTCTGCTTTCCTCACCTAACTTGATAAAACAACATTTTCCATGTTAATCCAACTATTGAGCATCGTTTTGATGGCTACATAATAGTCTCTTCCGTGGATGACGAGCTTGTATTGCACCAGTCTCCTAGTGTTGGAACATTTTAAGGGTGTCCCATTTTTCAGTTATAAATTCTGCTGCTATGAAGTGATAACTTCCTCCCAGTAATGGCTTTTCTCGAATCGCTGCCTTCTCCTGGCCACTGGGAATGTAGACCCTACCTAAGCTTGAGCAACAAAGACTGCGTGCATGGCGTGACTGTAGTGACAGGGTGGGGACCGTGTGAGGAGTGGGGGTGGCAGGGGAGCAGAGCATAGCTTATTGTAAAACAAAGCGGTTTTCCCATTTGATTATAATTGCACTGTGTAGTTACATACCATTTGGAAAATACACGTGTTCTAAATGTGTCTCAGCCCCAGTCGAAACTGACATGTATATTTAGGTCTCCTTGGACTCTAACCCTGTCCGCCCCCACAGAGCGTCTGATGTCTTGCAAATCTAGTCTGGTCCCTGGTATTTCTGGAGTCCCCAGGGGTTACCGCAAAGCGCTGCAGGTCTCCTAGCACCCTCTCTGGGTGCCCTGTCGCAGGCAGACCTGTTCCTGGTTGAAGACTTGAATATTGCCTCTGCTGGGGCCAGCCTGACCAGCTAGGGCGAAAGGAGAAGGAAGGAGTTAGTCACTTCCGTGGCATGACTGGGATCTCACACAGGTTCCCCTGGGCGCCCAGCTAGCACAGGAGGTAGTTCTCCCACCGACACGGCAGCCTCCGATGGTCTGGTTCACAGCTGGGCCCACACGTGCCGGCACACAGGTTCTAAATAACACTTGTGCTTTGAAGAACTTAATGTCTGGCCCCTCTGGCTGGAAATGCACACAGGCCACGTGCAGAGGGACCAGTGAGGTGACCGGCAAGGGCACAAGCCCAGAGTGCATGTCCACGGAGCAGAAACAGAAGACACCTGCTTCTTCATCGCCTGGCGCTTCCTCCCCACCTCCCACTGTCACCCCCTCGCCCCCCGCCCTGGGAGTACCCACCACCCTGTCCTCCTCGTGCCATTCCATTTACCTCTCCTCCTCGTTAATGGCTTATCTGGGGTCTGTCCCTCTCCAAGTTCCATGAGGGCAGAGACTGTCTTTTCTCATGGGATCCTCCGTGCCCTGCAGGCACCTGGCCCGAGCTTGTACTTGCTCCAAGACAGGCAAGGGAAGGGTGGGCAAGACCCTTCAGAATATGAATCCTCATGTAGAATAGTTTATCCCTCAAATCTGCCCCTGGGTTATTAAGAAGCTGGAAAATGTACCCAGTGGGTAAAAGGATATGGATGTACAGTAGAACCTCGTTTCTCAAACTTAATCCATTCCAGAGGCCTTTCAAGAGCAATGTGATCAAAACTGAATCATTTTTTCCCATTAGAAATAATGTAAATTGAATTAATCTGCTCCAGACCCACAAATGATTCCGTTTCAACCTTTCTTATATACAGTGCCAGAGGCCCGGTGCACGAAATTAGTGCATGGGAGGAGGGTCCCCTCAGCCCAGCCTGCACCCTCTCCAATCCAGGACCCCTCGGGGGATGTCCAGTTGCCAGTTTAGGCCTGATCGTTAGGATCGGGCCTAAACCAGCAGTTGGACATCCCTCTCACAATCCAGGACCGCTGGCTCCTAACTGCTCACATGCCTGCCTACCTGATCGTCCTTAACTTTCCCCCTTCCAGCCTGGTCACCCCCAACTGCCCCCCCCTGCTGGCCTGATCTTGGCCCCCACTGCCCTCCCCTGCCAGCCTGATCTCACCCCCAATGGCCCTTCCCTCTCCCCTTCAT